ACCTATTTTCAATGTTGCACTTCATTCCCCCTATTCAAGAGCTGTCTCCTCTTCAATGCCCCTTTCTACTGAGATCTTTATGCTGTTTTTCTCTCCATATCCTTTTCGCTTCAAGCTTCAAATGATGAAGAGCAACTTGTTGGGTTCCCTGCTGCTCACTGATGATCTCGTGTTTCTGAAGCAATGTGGGATGTTCTTTCTCTGCAAAACTGGAATCTACTGGGCTGTAATTAATATGTCTTCTAGGACTCCCAAGCTTCCCTCCACATTCCTGGATCTTAATGTGTTTTTGGAGCACACCACGTTTAATACAATGTTTAATCCCTGTTTTCTTTCTTAACATCTACCAGGCTGGTGCTACGCTAGGTGCATGTTCTTCCCCTTTATTTCCAGTCTTAATCGATTCTTCTGTCAGTGAGCAGTTGATCGAATACAGCTTCCCCTTGCTCCGGTCTGATTCTTGACTTGAAAGATCATAAAGTTGACTGCACAGCTCTGGAATTTCTCTGTTGATGCACGGTCTGCTGCTTTTGTAACAACAGCACAAAGATTTGGGAAGTCAGAATTCTCAGGAGCTCCCGCAACGAGGAGTTCATTAGACCCACATAGCGTTCCTCGCCACTGTTCCCATTCCCTCTTGGTGGTTGATACCAGACGATGCAGCACTTACTCTTCTGACTTTTCCTGAAATTCCAGATGCTACGATTTCACAATATTCTTTTCTGCCAAATGATGGGTCTGTGCCTGCTCCTGGGGATGGGAGGTGAACGTGAAGACTCAGACATGACAGAGTCTGGCCAGTGAGGTCATCGCCGCCATGCGGAAGGAACTGGCATCCTGACAGCTGCCCGCACTTTGTGGGAGGCTGAAAGAGCGAAGGCAGCGTGCCTGGCACAGAGTGACAGCAAGGCCGGCCTGGAAAGAGGGATGGAGGGTCGTGACCGAGTGGCAAGGCCAACCCCTGTGGGAGGATTTGTTTTGCTTGGATATTACTCCAGGAATACTTCCTCAGTTGTTGCTCTAATGAGTTAAAGTCACCGGTTTATAAGTTGTTTTATTAAGGTTAATAGGAGCTATTAGGAACACCTGGGAGATAACCCTTTTCTCTTTGCCTGTCAAGAATTTGTTAGCCCTATAAAGATAACCCAACAATTATCCAGCCAATCCTGGATGTTTCCATTGATGGCTGATCTCAGTCGTCAATGACTTAAAATTTCTTCATAATTGTTGCTGGAAGAGGCCTATTTGTTTCTGACTGTCCCTGGCTCTCAGCTGTCTTTTTTTTTTTTCTGGCAAAAGCTCACTGAATTTCTTCGGTACATTCACCCCTTCCCTGCTCCCTGCCTCAGGGGCCCTGGGTGAAGTTTTCCTTCAACCTGGTCCAGGGTATAGGCCCATAACCTGTTTGACCAGGCCACTGAGCTCCACACTGGCCACTGTGATTGTTACACAGATGAGCAAGTGGCCCAGGCAGAGCCACTGAGATGTGTTAGATGACCTCCACCGAGCTTGGAAGAGAGACCCTCATTCTTCGACTTGCTTTTGGAGCATGGAAACCTCATGCTGCCAGCAATCCCTTTGTCACCAACAAAACAAAACAGAAACTGCCTACGATGGACTAAATGTTTATGCACCCTGCATTTTCATACGTTAGAGCCATAGCCCCATGTGGTGGTATCAGGAGATGAGGCCTTTGGGAGCTGATTAGGCTTAGATGAGATCATGAGGGAAGCCCCATGATGGGATCTGTGCCTGTATAAAGGACACCAGAGCTTCCTCCCTCAGTGCATGCACAAAGAGAGGTCATGTGAGCACACAGCAAGCTAATGACTGCCAAGAAGCCAAGAAAAGAGGCCTCAGGAGGAAATCTATCTTGTCAGCACATTGATCTTGGACTTTCCAGGCTTAATAACGGTGAGAAATAAATTTTTAAGGTTTAAGCCAACCAGTCTATGGTATTTTGTTTTTGCAGCCCACGCTAAGATAGTGCCTGAGAATGAAACTAACACAGAAGAAGGCAGAGGCTTGAGATAGAAAACAGACCCTGATCATATTAGTTAGGACTCTGGATCCAGCCTGGAGCCATGCCTGGACTTTTCAGTAGCACAAGCCTATCTCCATGTTACTTTGGTTTTCTTTAAGTCAGTTTGAATTAGCTTTTCTCTTTTTTTACATACATTGGCCTTCAGGCCAAATTGAAGGCTGAAAATACCCAGCCTTCAATGCATGATCTTTGAACTAAGAGGTCCCCCTTTCAGGCCCCAGAGAGGCACAATAGTCAAGTGTGGATTTCCCTTCCCAAGCGTGCGTGGTCTTTACTGCCAGGGCCTTGTGTGTATCTGCCCTGGTCCCTACAGAAGCAGCATAGCTTTGCAAGGCATTTTCCCAAGAGTGCTGCATAAACACACTTTGATGACTAGTCCAGTCCGAGAATCAAAGAACAAAGACTGTCTCAAGGTGCTCCCTGGAGGTGGGCACAGGGCTTGGCTTCCCTAGAGGTCACTGCATTTGTTTATTGTTTCTCCCCTGGCACCCATCTAGGGGAGAAACAAACTCAAACTTTGTTTGAACATGCAAACTTCCCACCATGCAAACTTCCCACCATGCAACCTGGGGCTCAGAGAGGCCCGGTGACCTATGCGTTGTCACACAGCTAATTCACCACCCTATCATGTTCTCAGGTGAGAACACGTAGCATCTGAGGTGAAGGCAGGGGGAGGCCAAAGGACATCTCATCACCTTCGTGACTCCTGGTGATCCTGTCTTTCCACTTCGCTTCTGACCTCATTTCTTCCCACTGCCTCTCTGTCCCTGTCCACTCCGGTCACCTTGCTGCTTTAGGACTATCCCAGGCATCCTTCTGCTTCAGGAGTTTGCACATGCTCTTCTCTCTGACATGCTGTCTACATCATCTAAAAGACTCACCTCACCTCCTCCAGAGCCTCCCTGACTACCCACTGCCTTTCCTGTCCTCCGTCTCAGCTTTGTCTTCCCATGATCCTTGGCGTCGTGTATCTTACTATGCCCTCTGTCTGTCCCTGCCACTAGTAAGTGCTCCAGGAAGAACATTTTTTTTTTTCAGTGCTGTGCCCCCAGAACCTGGAATTGGCAATGAGGAAGCACTCAAGGAATGTTTTGGGAATGAATGAATAACTGGAGAGAAATAAAGTCAAACCACAAGTCACCTCCTTCACTTTTCAGAGGAGCAGACATCTTAAAGTTCAATTGTGTTGTATAAATAGAATATAAAAATGCTTTTTAAAAATAATGCAGGTATGCAGAAATGTGTGTGTGTCCATGTGAGTGTGTGTGCTCATTCAGTGATCTGGGTCTGTACCGGCTGACCTGGAGAGACAGATAGGGTCGGGTAACAAAAGAAAGCTGTAGAATGATGTATATGACATGACTCTATGTTTATAAACAAATACACACCCCAATCTCTGACTGTGTGTTTACATGTACCAGGGATGAGAAAGCTGGGAGGGGAATCCCCAGCTTGCATTTTGATCTGAGTAAGACTGGGACAGGATGAGGAGGAAGGGGAATAGCTTTGTGTACATATTTTTAGGTGTGAGTACGTGAAAGGACCAATGCTGGTAAATACTCAGAAATAGATGTACTAAGCAATGGGGAAGCTGTGAGCAAAGAGAACTCTCATTGAACATGCAAACTTCCCACCATGCAACCTGGGGCTCAGAGAGGCCCGGTGACCTATGCGTTGTCACACAGCTAATTCACCACCCTATCATGTTCTCATTGTCTGCTCCTGGAGCAGAAGAGAGGGCCGTGAAAAACAAACTGGTAGGTGTGTTGCTGTTGTGTGTGTGTTGTGTTGCATGCATTCTCATCCTCCATGATCCCACACAGAACCCGCAAAGATGTCGCAGGAACTGCTGATGCACAGAACGTGATTCTGCTTTTTAACTCAAGCAGGTATATTTTTCCAGGCCTTCTCTCTCTTCCCTCCCATGGAACCATGCTTTGGTGCCATGGGTCAAAGTTACCCAGGACTCCGAGGATATACTTAGTTCAGAAACTCAATAAGTAAATTCAGCAAAAAGTCTGAAGCAGCTGGAAGTTTATCAAACAAAATGATCTTCCTGGGGAGCACATAAGAGCTAGCCAATGGGTAATTACTGTGATGCGGAAGGAAGGGGCTCTGAGTAACACCTGGGGTTGACTTCTCTAGCAAGGGAAGGTAATTGCTTCCTGCATCGTGCCCATAGCATAGTGGCAACCCCCCTGCCAATCCATGCCTATATTCAACTCACCTTGGTGGTTGTTAAATTACTTTCTTTACTTTGTTTCCTAATGAGAGGAGGCCCTTTAAGATTTATATTAAGCTAGCAGCTTCAATATTAGTATGTAACGTTCTATCTTTCAGCACTGGGAATTATAAAACATCAGAGCCGCATAAATGGAAAATAATTCGGCTGGGCTCAGTGGCTCATGTCTGTAATCCCAGCCCTTTGGGAGGCAGATCATGAGGTCAGGCAATTGAGACCAGAGTGGCCAACACGGTGAAACCAAGTCTCTACCAAAAATATAGAAAAAAACTAGCTGGGCATGGTGGCACGCACCTGCAGTCTCAGCAACTCTGGAGGCTGAGGCAGGAGAATCGCTTGAACTCAGGAGACGGAGGTTGCAGTGAGCCGAGACTGCGCCACTGCACTCCAGCCTGGAGTGAGACTCTGTCTCGAAAATAATTCACAAAATGCTTGGATGTTGAAACTCAGCGGTTCAGTCGCTCTCACCCCACCAGGCCTGAGAACAGCACTGAAAGAGGGGTCATGAACGTGAGGCTAAGATCCTGGGTGGCTATGCTCTTGTAAGCAGTGGAGTGAGGGCCTGTGTGCTCTCTTGCCCAGGTGGAGGTGCAGCTGAGCTGGGAGTGCCCATCGCTCATTCTCATTCTCAGTACTTTCGCACGAGCAGGAAAAGACAGACGTTACTGGAGTAGATGGATGAAGGCTAGAGCCACCATGATCGTGACCACTTACCTGAGACCAGAACAGGTGCTGAGACTGACCACCGAGTCTGAATATCCCCGCACATGTCCATGGTAGTAACAGTGACCCTAAAGGGGAGGAGGGGAGAATCCAGTTCAGTTATAACATATTTTTGCCCACGTCTAATAAATCAACTGCCTCTAATCCTCTCCACTTGTTTTTAGCTATACGCTTTTCTTTTGCATAAAATATTGTTCTACCACCTTACTATTTAATGCGAAGCCCAAAGTGACCCAGCCTGGATCTATGAAGGGAATATCTGACTTACTTAGAGATTACCAGTAGGGGTCTTTAAATGAACCCTAGTTTCACTCTTGTCTCTCTGACACCCTACAGGAGAGTTCTGACACAAAATGTTTTACAAAATCTAGCAGCAGAACAAATCACGTTGACATTGCCATTTTTCCCTCATGTAAATTGTCTTTCATAATGAGATGAAGAACTATAGGGGGTATTTAAGCACACTGTGAAATGTAATAAAACAAGGCCTAAATCTGTGGCTTACGAAAACAGGAAAGCAGATGAGAGGAAGTGGGGGTGAAGAAGGAAGGAGGGACCCTCACTGAATTACCCAGTTGAGAGCTGAAAGTCTATCTCAGCAGGAAAGAAAAATAGGAAGGTCTTCTAAGTCTAAGACAGAAGTTCCCGTGTGTCATGCCTGCACTATTCTATTCTTTGATAATGTCACAGCTTAAAAAAAAGGAAACACAGCACAGACACTTCCTTAGTGAAGATAGGTGTCAGTCTGGAATCAAGGTTAATTTTTATCATTGAGCAAAGGTTATGCTGCAGCCCCAATTAAGTGGCAGACTGGCAAGAAGTGGCTTGAGTATACCCAGTTCTCCTCACCCAGGTCCTCTAGATGCCAGCTGGGTGCAGGTCCCTGCAGAGAAAGGTACATGTATCTTCTCAGGGGAAAGAGCAGCTCGGGTTTCAGCCCGTCCCTACTGCACCCTCCTCAGTGCCTGGCTCCTTCCTGCCTGACAACGTCATGCACTTTGTCCAGGGCAGAGCTTGGTGTCCAATTGTTCTGCCCAGCAAAAGCCATCTTGACTTTGCTAAGAAAAAGCACCAGATGCAATTGAGTAATGAAGGAAACTAGACACCACCACGGAAAAGGGGCTAAGATGGTCTCTTGGTCTCAACGTACATGACAAAATTCTGGGATCACCTAAACGGCAATGAAAGGAGGATGATGGGGTTAAGGAGCCACAGGGACATGTATTATTCTGTTGGGCTTTGTCTTTATATACTCAGGATATTAATATTCTGCCTGTTATTATACGGGAAATGTCTTTCAACTTTGCTTATGATATTTTTTGTTCAGTTTCCAATTTATATGAATTTAAATGCACTTTTCTATTTTTTGTATAGCTCAAGATGGTTTTTTCAAGGTCACAAATACGTCCTTCTTTATTTTCTTCTATTTTTATAGTCTTGTAATTAGCTTTTACCTACCTAGAATTAATTTTTGTGGGAGTGTGAGGTTCAATGCTAACTTTCCCCTACAAATGAGAGCCAGCTGTGCTTTGCTGCCATTTTTTCTTTTTCTCACTGATGGGACATGCTACCTTGGCATATATCAAAGGCCCACAATATGTCTGTGGCTCCACTTCCACACTCTCTGTGCTAGCCCACTGAGACAGGCATCCATTTGTCTGTTCCTGTGCCAATTCCACACTGTTCCAATGACTATTGATATTAGATAGAGTACATTGTGCTATAAAATTAAGATTAAATTCATATACCATAAAACTAATATTTTAAAAGCATACAATCAATGAGTTTTTTTGTATATTCACAATATTATATACTTATCGCCACTAATTGATTCTAAAACATTCCTGTCACCTCAGGAAAAAAACCCATATCCATCAGTAGTCACTTCCCAGTCCCTGCTCCTCCACCTCTGGCAACCATTAACCTGCTTTCTATCTCTATGAATTTGCCTGTTCTATTATTTTATAGAAATGGAATTGTACAATATATGCCTTTTGTGACTGGCTTCTTTCACTTAAGCATGGTGCTTTCAAGTTCATTCATACTGAGGCTGCATTAGAATGTCATTCCTTTTTCATGGCTGAATCACCTTCTGTTGTGTGTATGAAAATATATTTTGCTTATCCAGTTGATGAGCACATGAGTTGTTTCTACTTTTCAACTATTATGAGTAATGTTACTATGAACACATGTGTACACATTTTTGTAAGGATATGTTTTCAGTTCTCTTGGGTATGTACTGTGAGTAGACACATGGGTCTAAAAGTAAAGTTGCTGGTTATATGGAAACTCAATGCTTTACTTTTTAAAGTACTGCCAAACTGTTTTGCCAAGCAGCCGAACCATTTTACATTCCCGTGAGCATTATATGAGGACTCTAATTTCCCCACATCCTTACCAACACTTGTTGTTGTTTATCTTTTCAATTATAGCCAACCTAGTGGATATAAAGTGGTATTTCAATGTGGTTTTGGTTTAATTTTCTTAATCACTGATGATGTTGGGCATCTTTTCATGTGCTTATTGTCCATTTTTACACCTTTTTTGAAGAAATGTCTATTCAAATCCTCTGCTTATTTGTAAATTGAATTTTGGTCTTTTTATTGTTGAGTTAGAAGAGTTCTTCATATATTCTTAGCACTAGACCCTTGTTAGATACATGATTTACAGATATTTTCCATTTTGTGGGTTGTCCTCTTTCTTTCTCTCGTTCTCTTTCTTTCTTTCTCTCTCTTCCTTCCTTTCCCTCCCTCCTTCCCTTCCTCCTTTCCTTCCTCCCTTCCTGAGAGAGTCTCACTCTGTCACCTAGGCTAGAGTGTTGTGGTGTGATCTCGGCTCACTGCAACCTCTGCCTCCCAGGTTCAAGCAATTCTTCTGCCTTAGCCACTGGAGTAGCTGGTATTACAGGCACATGCCATCATACCCAGCTAATTTTTGTATTTTTGTAGCAATGAAGTTTCACCATATTGGCCAGGCTGGTCTTGAACTACCGACCTCAAGTGATCTGTCTGCCTCGGCCTCCCAAAGTGCTGGGAATACAGGCGTGAGCCATCAGGACCAGCCCCTTAACTTTCTTGGTTGTATCTTTTGAAGCTCAGAGTTTTTTATTTTGATGAGGTCTTATTTATTTTTTTCTTTGGAGGCTTATGCTTTTCGTGCCATATCTAAGAAACCGTTACCTAACCTAAGGTCACGAAGATTTACACATCTCTTTTTTAAGAGTTGTATAGGTTTAGCTATTAAGACCTTTAACCACTTTGAATTAATTTTTGTACGTAGCTTGGAGTAGAAATCCAACTTCACTCTTCTGCACGTGGACAGCCAGTTGTTCCGGAACCATTTATTGAAACAATTACTCCTTTTTCTATTGAATTGTCTTGGTGACTGTCTCCAAATCAAGTTTTCTTTTGGTACTGTTCTTTTCTCAAAATTTTCTAGGTTATCATTCCCTATTTTCTCTTCAGATGAATTCTGGAATCCAATTTTAAGCTGCACAATAATCCATTGAGATCTCAGTTTGTATTACATTGAAGTACAGGTTAATTTGGGAAGAACTTACGTTTTCACAATAAACAGTTTTCTTATTCATGTACATGGCAGGTGTCTCCTTTTAACAAGGTCATTTTTATGTCCCTCAGTCAAGTTTTAGGTTTTTTTTCCATGTGGCTACTGGAAAATTTTCATTAAGCTTATGCATAGATATTGTACAGATTTGCTGATATCATAAATAGGATCTTTTTTTCCTATTTTTTATTACACATATTTATTTTTAATGTAAAGGAAACCTTTCAGTTTTGTAAGTTGGTCTTACATCGGGCACTTTTACCACACCATCAGATCAGTTCATCAGTTTGTAGCATATCTTTTTTCTATGTTGTTGATCTTATCAAATGCAAACAATGAAAGTACGGTGGGCACCTTTTCAGATCCTTCATACGACATGGAAGAGTGAAATGGCTAGGTGTGCTGGGGCCATGGCAGGAGGTGACTTGCCTACAGAGGGAAAGCATGTGCAAAGACAGTGAGCACTGTGAGGGGAAGCGGCATTCAGGGGTGGGGTCAGTTCTGCTGGGCTGGAAGATTCAGGTGCATAAGCGTAGCACTCACAGTGCCCTGTTCCTCCTCCAGAGAAGCTGCCATCTTCAATCAGCATGTGGTTTAGGAAAGGATGCATCAGGCTCCCACCCAGGCCATTGGAGAGGCTGCCAGCTCACCCCCTTGGCTTTTGTCTGACATATATTTTGGATGGCTCCAGGATCCTCTCCCTCTAGATAACTCTTAGGTATGCAGGGGAAGCATGATGATAATTCTCTGACTATGAGGGGGTCATTTAATTGGATCATAATGCTCTGGGGCATCAGGGGGATCTTAATACCCTCCCAGGCCTGGCTTCACTGGTAGGGATTTCAGCGCTGGGCACACGGCAGGCATCAAAGTGGGAGATGATACAGAAAGTGAAAGGTTGGCAGCTGCTGTTAGGATTTTGGCTGCTTAGGGTAACCAGAATCACTGGGTTTAGACTGTCACAGGTCTCTGAGGTCACATACATAGCAGAGTTTCCCCCATTTTCGAGGAATATAAAATGCTGCTCTAAGTAGCTAAATGCTGGTTAAAAAATTGAAAACCAAATGGTGACAATAATTTTAATTACTGACCTCTGAAATTTCAAGCTGATTTATACTCAATTTCAATTTATTTTTAATAGATTAGTTATAAAATATACTTTCAAATTAAATACACAGAAATATAAACTCGTTAAAGCATGGGCTTAGAACAAATTAGTATCAAATTAATTTCCAGTTCAATAACTCAGTTGAAGTATTGCTCATGAAGGAGGAGGGGGTAGATTTTAGCTCTTATAAACTATTGCTTAAAGTAAACAATCTCACTTCTCTCAGTCATTAGTAGAGTTAACAACTGATTTCCAGGGTTTTTTTTTGTTGTTGTTGTTGTTGTTGTTTTTTCAGAGACAGAGACTTGCTCTGTTGCCCAGGCTGGAATGCAATGGCGCAATCTCAGCTCACTGCAACCTTCGCCTCCTGGGTTCAAGTGATTCTCCTGCCTCAGC